AGACCGGCCCCGAGCCGGAGCGACCACGGGGGGTTGTCCCCGGCGAGGGGTCAGGACTTGAACAGGTTGTCCGTCACCAGTGTACAAGGTGCTGTACTCAAATTGTTGTTCCTTTTCCATGGCTTCAGGAAGAGTCGACGTAGTAGGAACTGTGGCTGGACCGAAACCGCGATTACGGCGACGTGGTTGACCGATGGCAGAGATAGAGTCGGAGAATGGGGCAAATGATTGAGCTGTAGTGAAGAAAGTGTTTTCTTCGGAGTTAGCTCTAGATTGAGCTCGAGTTTTCGGAGGCATAAAAAATGATATGTCAGTACGACGTTAACGGATTGAGTTTAATTATACTGTTAAGATCATGTACACCGTGTAACCGTGCCAGAGCCACAGGGTGTCTAAGTGCGGAAGACGAGTGGGACAGTAGTGAAGTTATTAACAACACCGCCGTTACGCCGTTAGTCCCCGGAGATCGAGAGTAGAGAAGGGAGGAACTGAGAAGCAGCCAAGTCGGAGCGGCGGTATCGCCGGTGACGAGGAGCAAGCCAGAGGACGTCTAGTCCTAAGGTAGCGCAGAGAGTACTTCAAGGCGTTGAGCCTGAAGACTTAGAGAGCACAGAGTGGAAGAGGGAATCTAAGTCGATAATTAAACTGAGGAACTACAGTAGCGTACAAGCAGTATTTATATCTACGGAGCGGCGCAGCGGGGCGGAGCGCCAGACTAACTACTAGGAGTTATACGTGTAGTCCTGCAGGGTAAAGTAAAAGACAATAAAGAGGGACTAGAGTGAAAGGGTATGTGTAGCAAGAAAGAACAATAAGGAAGAGATTACAATAAAGGTGGATCTTCGGAATGCCGAGCGGCGGAATGGAGGCCCGAGGCATGGGCTTGACACATCCAACACCTTTATCTATGTTGACCACTTTGTACCCTCGTCGAGATCCCCGGACACGGTCCCAGTAGAAGCATGGACCAGGAAAAAATATGACATCTCCCACCTCAGGCCATTTGGCTGCGACTGCTGGGCTACGCTACCCAGTGTCATATGCATGCAATTCACCCAATACGCTTCCCGGCCCGGCCCGGAGCGGCCGGACTTCGGAATAATTACCTTGTGACTTATTTATTATTCCGAGCTTTCATCGAGGTCTTATGACTACTGTATTTGGGATGTATATAAGCTAGAATACTTTGTACGTTGTAGTCAAGCTTGAAATCAAGTGTACCATCTTATCCCACTCTTTAATATCTCCTTTACCTTTGCTTCCGGACTCCCGGATCATCAGGAACCCCATTTAGGCTGCTCATCCCAATCTTGCACTCTTGCCATAATTCCCGGGGACACCAACAGTGTGTGAAGGGTGTTGCTAATAGCTTCACCAACGTCCCACTCCCAGTGTGTACTACAGGCCAGTACTCGGCTCTGGACCTCGGAGTTATCCCGGCCCATTTCCGGCCCATATCTGGCCTCAGAACTGCTATAGTTATTGACCTGTAGGCACGGTCTTGTCACCCAGGAGGAGAACCGATGGCAAACTCAGATGACAGGCAGTCAGAGGGAAACTAATCGGCTACATGGGGAGGAGGGGCTACAGAATTTGGATACCAGAGACTAAGAAAGTGGAGGAATCCCATGATGTGACATTCGAGGAAGGATAACCACACCATACACAACAACCGGTGAAGAAGTACTGAGAGATCTCACAGACTCTGAGCCTACTCGACTGATAGCCAACCCTTTGACTACTGCGGACAACAGTACCCACACCACGCCACAGCAGGAGCTACCAGATACAGCTACAATATTCGAAGGCAAGACTGCTAAGGCACCCAGGCAACAGCAGACACTGGAACCAACCTGACAAAGTGAGCGGGGACACATCCCATCACGGAGGTACATCAAAAGTGAGGAGTACAACCAACACAAACAGGACGTGCATGGACGGGGTGAAGCCTGGACGACAAGTGGCACAGACACAGAGGAATCCATTGCACTGATAGTGGAAACACCCTACTCCTTCACAGCAACGTCGGGTGACCTGTGAGTACCACAGTCATTCAAACAAGCAATAAAACATACAGATCTCTGGAGAGCACCAATGGAGCAGGAATTCAAAACATTGACACTAAAGGAATGCTGGGAACCTGTACCACTCCCACCAGACATGAACCTAATGGGAGGAAGGTGGACATATACAATAAAGTTCAATGCCCAGGGTAACCTCCTGAAAAGGAAAGCGAGGTATGTCACACAAGGCTACACCCAAGTCCAGGGCCAGGACTATGATAAGACATATGGCGGTGTCACATGGACTCCATCTGTGTGCATTGTATTGGCTATCATTGCAGTGCTGAAACTATCCATCTTCCAGGTGGGCTTCACAGCAGCATTCCTCAATAGCCCGATCACGCATAATGTATATATGAAACAGCCTGACGGATTTGTCCAGCCCGGGACCAAACACCTTGTATGCAAGCTCAAGAAATCTATATACGGCACCATGCAAGGCAGCCACAATTGGCAGACAACCTTAGCTGCAGGATACCGAGATGACGGATACATCACATCGCCTGCAGACCTGTGCATACGTTACTGATGCACCGGGGATGAATATACCATTACGAGCACCTACAGGAATGACATATGCAGTGGGTCCACTAGCAGAGAGGGCAGAGAGATTGTAGTCCGGGACCTCAGGAGAAGATAGGAGGCAAACAAAGTGACTACGGAGGTATTACTAGGCATGACCATCCAGCAGAACCCCAGCACAAAATGTATCACAATCTCGCAGAAGGCATACTTCCAGAGGATGCTAGCACATTTCGGACTCGAACATGTCCGGCAACACAACACACCACTACCACCCCACATCAAACTACAAGAACTACCTGACCCGATACCAGAGGCCGACCAATGATTCATGCAAGACAGACTGTACCGGGCTATTGTGGGGTTTATACTATGGGGACAAGTCTGCACTCGGCCTGACCTAGCATTCACGGGAAGCCTACTGGCCCGGTACCAGCTACGCCCAGGACAAGCCCACTGGGAATGTGTTGAATGGGTAGCAGGCTACCTGCTCAATACTGTCACAAAGCGACAGCGACAGGATGACTAGAGCAGGGAGGCGAAGCAATTTGAGCAAAGCAGTAGTGCGGAGCAACTGAGCAGAGTGGTAATGCGGAGCGACTAAGCGGAGCAGAGACAGACTGGTCCCAAGATAATGACAGAGAGGTCAAGATAAGTGACCAGGCTGTGGGGGTTTGGCTATTTATACATAATCCGATCTGCGAGAAACGACAATGTAATACTGTACAGTTTAGGAACAAGGAAAGTGGCGGAAGCCCGTAGAAGGAGAAGGGTAACAGGTGGATCAGTAATCAATGATGGGGGTCAGGTGGATCAGTAATCGATGGGATTTGGTGGTGATGTAATTGTACAAGTAAAGGCGTCGAAACAGTGAGAAAAGGAAAATGATAGGGGCTACGTACTTCATGACAGATACCCTCGACTACTCTATCACCTATGGAGCGCCAATGACATAGACACCGGGTGCAGGGCTCAAACCACATGTGTACGTGGACTCCGGCCATGCAGGATGTCAAGACACACTGAGGTTGACCTCTGGCTACGTGTTTTTCATGGCCAGGGCACCAGTGTCCTGGAGCTCAAACAGACAGGTGACTGTTGCACTCTCGACAACCAAATCCAACTACATAGGACTTTCCAGAGTAACTCAACAAGCCGTGTGGCTCGCGTCCTTCCTCTTGGAAGTTGACTTTGGGGCAAAGCGGACCTATCAGCATGCTAGGGGACAATTTCAGGTGACTTTGCCTAACGGAGAACTCCAAACAACATGCCCTCATGAAGCATATCACAATGCAACACCACTACATGAGGGAAAAGGTTGCTAGTGGAGAGGTGGTCATTCAACGAATCAGATCTGGTGAGAATGTCGCGGACATCTTCACCAAAGCACTGAGCGGGACACTTTATTCGAAATTGGTTTCATTACTCGGACTGGATCATACAGAGTAGGGGGGGTGTTAGGGAAGTAATCCGTGCATAGGCCAAGCGGACAGTTACATAAACAGCATTATTATCTTATACTGTACAGTAGTAGATATACCACGCCGATGGCGATTTCAATTCCCTCAGTTGCTTCAAAGACAACTGAGGTAAGCCCCGAGTATACTAGCATACAATGTCATACTAACCAACCATAGTTATATCCTAACACCCTGCTGCGTGTGTCTCCTGCCAGTTGTGGCTACCTTGCATAGTCCCGTAGATGGATTTTAGGTACCGGCAGGACGGTATATAGCTTTGCAGTCAAAGCTTGGCACGGTTCGCCCGTCCCGCCTGCGAGATTAAGCGCCCATTCATTCGAAGCCGTCACCGCCAGACTACCCTCCAAATTTGCTATTTGCTTATTGCATTGCTTAGCTGGTAAGCCCATGTTGCAGATGCTCCAGGCCCCAGCTTCTCGCATAATGGTGTGTTGCCCACCTGCAGATACAACGTGGACAAATTCGAATACCTTATTCGTAATTTGCTTTGTTTCAAGCCTTTCAATCAATACATCATCAATGTTCAACCTTCGATGTTATCTTTCTATGGTCAGGGTGAATGCCTTTGTCTCAGCGACACGTTCCCATTTTTTCGATATATAAAAATAGAGGTTCATCCAGTGCTCTTCCCCAGATCCACCAAATGCCCTCTCTAATCCTCGTCCCGTTGTTCGACCTTATTTTCAAAACTATACCTATCATCGTCATGGCTGTGCAATTCATCACTCGCCTCGCTCATACAACTTTCCGCTTCGTATACAGAGTTGCCACTGGACTGGCCACTATATGGTGGAAAATTCTGTATGTCTTGACCTTTGTTTCGCTCAATATCCTTCCTCTTTTGTCCACAATCAACTTGCGCCCACTATGTGCTGCGCCCGGATTCTCCAGCATCAGCTTGTGCACCGATTTTCACACATCCGACCATCCACTCCGTCCCCTATGGGCTGATTTTCCTCGTCTCATGAACATACAAAGTTCGACGTTTGAACAACTTCTGGACAACTCGGTGGGAGGCTCAGGTCTTTCACTAGACGTCAAGAAGGCTGAAATGGCTATGTCTGACCTGGTTGTCCTTGTAAAATTCAGTGAGCTGACCGGCAAGGATATCCTAGGCAAGCAATTCATCTTTGATTACATTCCACTCGCACTGATTGTCCATCTCCAGCTGATGCATTATCGAGTTTTGCTCATGACGCCCGTCGAACAGGACGCGGACTTCAAACATTGGGCTCGAAGGTTGGAGGTGCTGTAGACCTGTATGTTTCTCTGAACTCCTGAATCTGAGTTCACTTGCTCATCATTATCTTATCATAGTATACTCGCGGTCAATGAATACGCCATGGCGAAACTTTCTTCTATTCCACCATCAACTTCCATCATCCCTTCAGTATTGGTTCCCTTCAATACGGTATCTTCTGTGGAGAAAATGTTCCTACATGCTTTCGCTGAATCGATGAACACACTTTCCACCATCATTCAACGCCTCATTCTCCTTGCCGAAGTCGAGCTCTCTAATTTGGAGAAACTTGAGGACCATCTTACATTGATCCATGAAATAGTCTCGCGAGAGGATTCGACCATCTCTTCTGCTAAGGCTGAGCTCCTCGGAGAAATCTGGACTTGGCTTGGTGGTAATCAGCGCCAACTGAGAGGTCACGACGCGCACTTACAGCTGCTTCGTGGAATCGGTGCTTATCGTAAGCAAGCGCTAGCTCATGTGGTATCTGCCCTACAGATCTTGAGGGCTCTCGGTGAGGACATGGAGGATATGAGAGAAAGAATGATAATGCCGGATCTGGTGGGCTCGCAAATCCCGTTGGAAGTTCAGATTAGCAGTATACAACTTGGTGTGCAAAGGCTTAGGGATTCTAAGGTCTTGGCAAAAGAAAAGGAGGGGGGCGATGCGCGAAGGGTTGCCATTGTGGAAGGACAATCGACAGATCATCTAGACCTATAGTAATGGACATTATCCGGTCAGCTAGCTATCTTGCGGCCTTGATATATCCTTTTTCTTCGCTCAGTCGCAGCTGCTATGTATTATCATTAGAGTTTCAATTTGTACGTCCTCTGTTAACCTGAGAGTAGAACAAACTCCGGCCTGGGAAGGTTAAGGGATTTTTCAACGGCATATGCCCGACGTGGCCCTCACAACCGTTCATTCCATTCGTCGACATCAGTACCTACGTCTTATATGCATGCTTCGGAACCGGCGACGCGCCTTCAAACTCCTCACAAATGTAAAGGCCAAACTAGCATATCGCCGGGTGCCACCACCCTTTGAAGTCAAAGCCGTTTGTTCTCGACTTGAATTTGATCATGCCACTATATATAACTTCTTGAATCCATCTATCACAGCCCACCTGCGTTTTCTCGAAAGGATGGAGATTGTACGAGCACTCGACGAGGATCTAACGAACATTCGGACAGCTTGGGATGAAGTTCGCAATGAAAGGCTCTCATCAATTCCTGCTGTTGATTGGCAAACCAGAAGCTCGTTTCGGAGGTTAGCTGTGCAGACGGTGAGCTCTGTTGCATTTTGCAATCACTCGTATCGCCTAAGTTGCAATCTTTGGAGAACATGCTTTTCAATTACATTCAGACACTGGAGCGCAACTACTCTCCTCAAATCTCTGTGCTTCAAGAACAAGCGACGTCGCTACCTGGGATCAGTTACAATATTCGTTTGCATCAGGCTAACGCCCAGAACACGGTCACTCTTCAGCATCTGATTACTGGGCTAACTCAGCTGTCAGATCAAGTTCAGTGTTCTATTTCAATGATCGAACAAAATGTACTCAGAAACGCAACGTCAACAGCGCTATAAAAATGACCTGGCTTTTTTTGACACGCTGAGATCCGACATCGGTGAGTTTTCCATGGAACCATTCTGCTTGAATCCAAAAAGCTAATAGCATGGGCATACAGTTTCAGCTCGTTCTAAGAGCTGGAGCTCTTCATCTGAGATGAATGCGGAATACATACAAGCCCTTCAGTCTTCAACCAGCTGTCGCGAAGTCGTTGACCTGTTTGTTGAAAAGCTTTGTCTCACAGTGCAGGTTCCCCGCCATTTGTCTTCGAATGGTCCTTCAATGACGATTTTGCTTGCGAAATCTGAAACTTTGCAAAGCGTCCATCATATTCCTCAAAATTCCAGTGTAATCCTGAAGATGAACACACCTGTCCAGGAAACTAGCTATCGAAGTGGCACAGATAACATTCGACATGTGAAAGCAGCCAATCGATCAAAGATGCAAACAGAGAGGGTGCAGAATCTCCAACTAGACGGCCTATCGAATATACCTGTGGGTCAACTCTTGGCATTTCACGTATTTTGCACACTGAAATATTCAGCAGGAAGATACGCTCAAAGCAAAGTTTTCTGAATACAAAAACCAGAAGCTGAATGAATGGATTCAGAGTGAGTGAAATTAGAATTGGGGTGAGAGATGCATTCTTACCGCGCTCCGTCAGCTGTCTCGGTTGATTAAACAGAGGTTGCCAGTCACCAGTCAGCGCATCAGCGGTGGGGAAACTGGTCCCTCTGAGCATACGTTGAGCTTCCTCGCGCCAGCCGATCACCTCGAGACGACCAAGGATCCTATAATGGATGTGACTATGTGACTATCAGAGAAAAAGTACAGGGTAGTGTTTCTTACGCTTGAACTCTCTGAGTGCGTAAGTCATTCAACTCCTCTGTACGTTGTGAGAGTTGATTTCGATGCCATATCTCGCATAAGCGAGCGTGCTGGAATAGACAGAAATATTGTAAGTGATATATTATGAGGGAAGACAGATAGCACCCAAACATTTTCGATTTCTTGGTACTCTTTTCTCTTTTGATTGATCCATACCCGGCGATCTTCTTCTGAAACTAGAGCTATGAATTGGGACCTCAATTCCATCGCTATTTCTTGATTGAAAATCAAATATTTGGGGTCTTTCCCTGGATATCTTTGCATCAGCCAGCGTGAGCATAATCAATTGGATCGCACGACAAACCAATACCATTGATCCACTCTCTGGGCAGAATGTTGTACGAGGTGAAAGGTTCGAGCATAGATAAGGTTTGCCAATGATATTCGGGGAACCTAAGCACAAGTTACCTTCAACCTTCAGCGGATCACGATAAAAATACACACATACCTTCTTGCGCAAGTCTGGCAACAACGCAAACGGAACTTCCAGAATACCGTGTTGCATCGCCATGTCCCATTGCAAACCTAGATAGATATTTCTTGATGAGACGATATATGAACAATCACCCTTATAGACACGCACATGGCAATTTTTATCAAAGAGAAGGCGAGCAAATTGGGGCTCATTCAGATCCTGCGGTAGAGGGGGCAGGCCCGAATCGGCGCTTTCTCGAGTGGTGCGCCAGAGTCTTTCCAAAGATTTGCGAAGCAGAATGCTTCGTAAATCTTTGCATGTTCGTGAAAGGTGCAGAAGATCTTCAGGACCACAATAAGAGAAAATCTATAGATCTGTTATGTGAGAATCATTATGAAGTGTATATGGTTGAGTTCGTACCTCATAACAAATTTCCAGCGGGACATCCTTCATTAATCTCCCTAAAAGGCCAAACTTTCCTCAAACCTTCCTGAATTGGGGAGGCATCCTTCGACCTTTGCGTGATTTCATGCCCCGGGAAGGATTGTGATTTTTCTTCGCGCGTTTCTTGGGACGCAAAATACCATTCGGTTTCCAGTCCTGCTCGGAATCTGATGGTATGTCATCCCCGATATAATGTTTTCTGGTCTTGGTGGATGATCGTAGCTCCATGTTGTGGAAGCGAGTGGCAAAAATACGAGGTGGCGGTGGTTGCAGAAAGAGTGTTATTTCCATTCAAGATGTAAGCATTAGATTCCACTACAATCATGAAAGACACCACGAACAAAGGATCCATAGCTGCATTTCCATTAGCGAACACGTGGGTGTCAATCTTAGAGCTGGGGTTTCGCGTTCGAAATTTAATTCAAGGGTATTATTCGTCCACCGAGCGAATATCGAAGCAAGGGGGTCGAGGCTATTTCTATACATCAGTACTTAAAATTCAGGGCAGAGTAAGACCTAACTGCTACGAACCGATGCGTCAACTGTTATCCGGAATGGAAAATGAGACATACCTATAGCTATATGCACCATATTACAATTCGTCCCATTGATCAGCCAGAAATTCGTTTCAAGATCCTGGAGCGCATCATGACGAGGAGATGGATGAGAGTTGAGATGAAAGCTGAAAAGACACTGAGTGACATGTATATATCGGTTGTCAAAGCCTACCTGATAGTACACAGGTATGTTATTCCGAAGATGCTCGCTGCAATTGTAAGTACTTAGCCGCAGAAATTTATACCTCGTCGTCGGATTCCAGAAAAGTTTCGAATCACGTGCATGATCTTGATAATTTGTATGATGTCATCAAATCATAACCTTAAATGTGATGCTTCTCCTGTACCAGTTCTCTCCGGGAACGCAAACCCTATAAGTAATAAGATTCTGGCTCGTCGTTGCAATTGCAATTGTGCTCGGAGGACTTTCCCACCTCACATGATCTCCCTTTCATTATACGTATATATCATGCATTGCTTTCGCTGCTTTGTCCATCGGATTCATATAAAAGGATCGTCCTTCAAATTGCCACTTGTGCTCAACTTCTATCGCTATAATAGCTATGCCCGTTACCTCGTTCTACGTCAACTTGCCACCCTTCCACCAGACTACCCATCATGTCGTCCAACTCCCTTCCTTAACTCGCGACGTTAATCGATCAGACTCAATCGTGTAAGCGTAGCTGATAACTCTTCACTATTCGAAACTCATTCAAGTTGTAGGCGCTTAGAAGAAGATGGTCGTCCTAGGTCTCAATCTTTCGAACAAGATGACCCACTCGAAAAGTTTACTGCGGATCGTCAACCTCAGCTTTCGAATCCCAACCGGTAAATTTCTTTGCTCCCGCTCCGATCACGATTTAGAATGCTTCCTGTAGTGAAAGGATCCCTCAGCCCGATACTTCACAGGACGTTCAGCCGACCCATGATCCTATATCTAACTCCTTGAACGATGACAGGTGCTTGTGACCCTTCCCTACAAATTTTGTCATTTCCTCACCTCACATGTACGTATACTCACTTTGTAGGGAGATCCAAGCTTTCTTGAACACCGTTATCCGGGTCTCTGACCTCAATCCGCCACTGTCGACTGCGCACACGGTCGACGATATTAGTTCTTTAGGACTCGACCCATATGAAACAAAAATTGCCGATGTTAGAGATTCTTCCGTGCTCAACATGCAAATGGCTCCAACCAAAATTCCACGTGCGGATGTTATGACTGACTTCGCACTCATTCCATTGGAGGGTCCAACGGAAGCACCAGGAGCCGGAAACTCTGATCAAAGCCCCTCGGCTCATTGCCCCCCCGAACACAATTTACCAGTGTCTCGCGTGAGAGCTTCTGGACAGTTGATCGAGAAGAACGACATCGCAGTCGGAAGTTCAATGGAATTAGGATTGTTGAACACTCGTCTATGGAGTGATGAAGGGGTGAAGGGGGTGCCCGAGTCCATCTCTTCAGCACTTCGGTACGCACCCTAAATAATCCTACCCCTTTCTGTCACTCAAGTTCATTTCCGTAGTCATAGACGCACAGTCTTTCGCCGGGATCCATACCCTATTCGGTCAAAATCTTCCAATATACGTCAAAGTCACAGCACCACTACTTCAGATGAGTACGATGGCTCCATTTTCACGCTTCCCTTGATGTATAGTGGTAGCATCAACGAAGCTGTGAACATCAATTCAACCTTTTGGGTTGACATTTTCCACTCACGAAAGGTTAAAGCCAAGACGTTTTACACTTGCTGGTACTTATACAGTACCCGTTCCCCACTCGACTTACCACCTACCCTTTCCCCTGGTCCCAGAGGGCCTAAGCATAACTATCTCTTTGTGCATGTCAACGAGGCTCAGAGAGAGAACCTTAATTCCACTCCTGCTGTCACTGACGGGCGCCCTACCCTTCTGAAATGCATGACAATGTGGATATGGAACAGCATCGCCGAGAGATGGGAGCATATTAATTACGGCGAGGAACGTTTCATCGCAGATGCGAAATCACCTTATTGCGTCTCCTTATATCGGGAAACCATACATCCGGAGTGGATTACCAAGAAGGCAATGAACAAGATTCTCAAAAAGTATCGAGGGTTTTAAAGTACAAGTACGTAGTGAGCCTTCATGTAATTATCTGCACAATTGTATCGGACGCACTCAAGATGCACTCGATTATCATAACCTAATCATAACTCGAATTCACTTTCCTGATGAATGTGGGTGAGTTGAAGAAGCGGGCAAGTTTTACCATGGAACATACCTTGTTCATGTTAAGATCATGTACACCGTGTAACCGTGCCAAAGTCACAAGGTGTCTAAGTGCGGAAGACGAGTGGGACAGTAGTGAAGTTATTAACAACACCGCCGTTACGCCGTTAGTCCCCGGAGAGCGAGAGTAGAGAGAGAGGAGCTAAGTAGCAGCCAGGTCGGAGCGGCGGTATCGCCGATGACGAGGAGCGGACCAGAGAACGTTAAAGTCCTAAGGTCGAGGAGAACGTACTTCGAGGCGTTGAGCCTGAAGACTTAGAGAAGAGTTAAGTTGAGAAGGGAGATCTAAGTTGATCTAAGTTGATAATTAAACTGAGGAACTACAGTAGCGTACAAGCAGTATTTATATCTACGGAGCGGCGCAACGGTGCGGAGCGCCAGACTAACTACTAGGAGTTATACGTGTAGTCCTGCAGGGTAAAGTAAAAGACAATAAGAAGGAACTAGAGTGAATGGGTATGTGTAGCGAGAAAGAACAATAAGGAAGAGATTACAATAAAAGGTAGATCTTCGGGATACCGAACGGCGACATGGAGGCCCGAGGCATGGGCTTGACAGTTCAAAGGTAGTGCATGCATAGTGGGAGCACCAATAGATGTCTCAGGTTGTAATGTGTATCCAAAATGGGAGGATATTAGTTCTAGAGGTAGAAGGAGGACTTCCTCTTCGAGCATATCGTAAAAAAGCCGACCGCCAGCGAACCCAAAAGTGCGATAGTTATCAAGCTGAGCATGTGAATCGGTTAGTGGCTTGTATAGCTGAATTTCGACGAATGTTTTTCCAACACGCTTTCCGTCCGATTCCCAGATAGCTGTGAAGATACGCTTGATAGAACCGGCACACCATTCGTTGGCACTTTCTTCATTGAAAACAACTTGGGCGTCGGGAAACGAGTGTTCTCGGGTGGTAAAAGTAAGACCTCGTCGTTTGATTCTGTGGTGTGTGCGAACGGAAGTCCACAAGCGCCATTTTTCACCAGTGCCATATCGTAGGACCTTGTCATAAGTCTCTGTCTTCATCCTTTTCAGTGACGAGACCGGCCAATCCGCAACATTCTCCGAATCGGACATGTCTTCGAAGGCAAGTGCGTCGTTTATACGAGTTCCGCGAGAATCTGATTCTTCAAAAGTGTCCCGATATAAAGTCACTAGCTCATCAACAATTGGTGGGAGTCCCTCTCCATGAAACAGAGACTTCAGCCTCTGCATCATGCAGAATCGTGTAAACATAGTCTTTTCCAGTTCGTCTGATTATGAAGATATCAGTTATATTTCACTTCAGGCAGACAAAAGGTGCACACCGAGTCGATCATTCGTACTTGTGTTTTGTAAAATATAGTTGAACCGTTCAAAGGGGAAACATCGCCAACTATGGACTGGACCGAATAGGCGCAAGAGGTTCCCGAAATGAACCATCATATGCTGGTAAGGGGTCAGGCGTGTGTGTGGATACAAACCACCCGAGCGATCATTTGTACCAAAACCAATCAGTCCCTCGAGATATGTTCGTATGTGAAGCTCGAACGACTGTGCACGATCTTCTGTCATGACCCTCATGTTAGCTAGACGAACGGCAGTCACGAGGTGCATAAAGTTGACGAGCATCTTGTATCTGCGTTCTTCGCGAGGCAAAGATCCCCAGAGGCGGATTAAGGTGATCGGTAGATTGATGTTGCAAAATGCGCGCCATTGGTCGGCAGTAAATTTGCCCTGAGAGGCCTCGCCCGGATGACGAGGAGCAACGGCCATCCACGACGGTACTTGAAGTTTTTCCATGTCCTCTCGGACAGCAGCAAGAGTGTTCTTTCCTAATACTCCTGATCTCTGGCCTCCGACTTTGTTCAAGAGCTGTCCATCATCGTTGGTTACACCTAATTCGAGACGCTTAACAAGAACGAATGAGCAGCTCTGCTGAAAAAGAGAAGCAACGACGGCGCACAGTTTCATGTATCAGATCACGCTTTGCTTTGTTTGTGGAGGGTATGACAATCTCGCCTTCCTCGAATGAACCAGAGTCTGAATGATAACCTTCCATGTCGAAGCCATCTAAATCATAGGGCTCATAATTAAGAGATTGATCAGACTGGGTTTCGAAAAAATCTGTCTCATCTTGTACATCATCTCCAGTTGTTTTTTTATGATCCTGAGCTGCGGCCCTCTTTAATGTCTGGATAACTCGAGATATGCCTTCCAACGTCTTTTTACTATACCGATCGATTTGTGATTTTGTTGCATTGAGTAGAAGTTTGTGATATCCGTCATGACTAGGTTCAGCAAGTTCAGCGGTGGGGTGTTTTTGTAATGGCTACGAGCCATCCAAGAATGTCAATTAAGTCACAGAGAATATACAGAATCTCACACCTGAACAACGGAGACCGCAGGCGAAGAATGGGATGGACCAGGTTGAGGATGAATCTTCTATATGGCATACACAATTGTTGGTGCAAGGCAGGTATGGGAAGGAAAAGACCCACCTGCAAGACAACAGTCAAATTTGGATTGGTGTCGGTAGGAGCAGGCTATTCAAAGGATGATCAGGGGCGTATTAGTTAGTACATTCGTAATAGACAGACGCACTTGATTAACGCCAGCAGAGGTTCCTGCATCTATGTTCAGATTTGAATTTGAATTTCCTTTATTCCTCTGACAAATATAGAACCATTAGTTGCCCAACAAAAACAAAATCGCCTGACCTGTTTGAACAATTCATTGAGAAGAAGGCGTTTATTTTGGGACGGTTCACCGTTTTTCTTGAGTACTTGCACACAGTATTCCTTTGCTAATTTTTGGATAGCCTCTGGTGAGAACTCTTTAAGTAAGTGGGACTTGGATTTTCCACTTGTAAATGCTTCACGAGCAGCGAGTAGTTCTGCGTCTCTGAATGTTTCAACCTGCGAAGATGTTTGTGCTGCTATTTGAGAGATCGCTGGCATCGATCGCTGATTTGAGAAGGAATCTACATTCTGCGGATCCTGGTGTACTTGGGTTCGCCAGAGTTTGACTATACGCTGTAGATATGTCAGTTACAAGGCCTTTGATGATATAGACACATTTTCTTAACCAATTGTATGAGCGAATCTGCTAATGTCTTCTGGTTACATCGATAGTCAAGACCCTCTTGAAGGGCAAGATAACGCAAAGAATCTGCTTTTAGACCCTTGAGGTCACGGGCAGATCCATGCTCAAAAATTTCTCTCGCAAGAGCCTTTCTCTCCTCAGTCGGAAGTTTGATCTCCCACAATCCTTCGCAGTCTACGAGCTCGGTGTTCATCCCCCAAATTTGACGGCAATGGCGTTGGAAGACACGGAGGTAAAATCCATGCATAGGATCGATAACGGTGTTTTGTACGGGATTCCAATACTTCAGTCGTAAGATCTCTGAATACCTAACCCCGTTTTGTTGGAAGAGCTGGTTACGCTCTGCCTCAGACTGGGCGGCCAGCCAGGCACTAGCCCCTCGACGATGTTCCTCATTAGTGCGAGGAATAAATGACAGCGGGTCCAGATCATTCAGATTCGATGTTTTGCACATCGAACAAGAATCAGCAGCACTGGTGTAATGAGCAAACCCACCAAGAAGTCGTGCCGCGGGCATGTCACATACCAACAGAATAAGAGCGGCTCTGACAGAAAGTCCCCGGAGATGACGACTAGTTCGTGCCATAAACATGCCTTGGTCCCAGAGTTGTTCAAGGTCATCAATGAGCGGTCGTAAGATATAGTTGATTTGGTGACCAGATGGCTCTTTCGGACCAGGTATAACTCCAACCAGAAATATATTTTCCGGTTTGAGTCTTACTTATTTTGGGAGGGAGATTTAAGCAAACAAGATATATCCCGCCGATACTGGCTTTCTTGCCTGCGGTACGATTACCGTAAGGATTGAAACCATCTTGATTCAAGTTAAAGATGAGACAATTTTCGTCGGAATTCTGGGAGAGTAGGAAAGGTTTTTCGCCGTCAGGACCAAGAAAGTTACGAAGATAGTCAGATTGCCAAATATCTCGAACTTTACCATCGGCAGGGGGTTCGGGATTATAACGGCGTTCAATATGTGGTGCGATATCTCGACGATTGTGCATCCATGTAATCCATTGCTTCAAATTTTGATAGCGAAAGTGCCTCGCTGGATCACTTTTGGGACGCTGCCGATTGGCGTTCGTGGGAAGTGGCGAGGGAGGGCGAAGTCGGTGGTTACAGTGAGGGCTATTGGGAGCTGGCCTATTGCTGCATAGTTCAGGGTAGTCGTCAATGTCAAAGAGCTGAAAACATTTTGGACAACAAGCGTAAGCAGTGAACGTTGGTTGTAAGTCGAGCCTGGCGATCACGGTGACACGCCTAAATTTTGGCTAGACGTCTATGCTGTGAATTGTGACATTTTCACGTATAGATTTGTATCAAGAGGACTGTAATTGAGACCCAGATTGACAGTCAAAGTCGATACTGAATCAGTCTAATAAGTTGAAGGGACCATATACCCATACTACCACAAGTTGGTTAGTTTACCCATCCCCGATACTACCTACGGATAGCAGTCTACCTGTTTGTCAAGCAGGATTATACCAGACTCGGACTACATCCGAAGGATGACCATTCACGTATGACATACCAAGGGTATTCTTATTGGACCTTACACTGGCAGGAGTTTGGAAGAACTTACTCAAGTGACCATGAACCGAGGATTGACTCGAAATGACTTTCTAGAACTCAGGAATTATCAAATACTCCTTCTAGAACAAGATCATGCATTAATCTAAAGGACTGCGATTTAGTCTAATAGACCAATCAAGTTGCATGGTTGAGGAAAATGACTAGAAGAACGATCGAAGTACTGCGAGGCTCCGAAGACATATCAAATGAATGTCAAAGAGTCCTGACGTAGAAAATATTGAAGAATGCAATTAAATGAATACTATGTGTAACTCCCTTGATTGAGTATAGGCACAATGGGTGTCTATTGAAAGAGAGAAGCAATTAGTTTAATCCAGATGAATCAGATTGATAGGATTAGAATCGAGGAGAGCTGATTTGCCTCCGGACGAGGTGACAAACGATCGAAGTAAGTGTTGAACAGCAATGACAGTTGAACACCATTCGAGTCATCCTCCAAAAACAATTAAATTAAATGAATATCGAAGTACCTACCTATGTTTGGAGGTATACTAGAATCTTGGAACCAATACGGGCCAAATAAGGACATGAAGATTCAAATTAAATGGTATCTGACCGAGTGTAGAAGTTTCCTGGCGGTTCCGAACGTTTATTGTATTAAATTAATTGTACTGTGCGACTCTATATCCTGTATGTATAAATAGCGATCCGATGTATCTGGAATACAAGTGATTTTGGGACGACGTTGCAGTGCTAATCCGTAAAAAGGAAAGACACACTCCCGCCAGACTGAAACCTCTTCGCTAGCAGCCATTCGGGCCCGGCACTTGTGAGTATAGGAACGTCGTGTTCTGCTCCTTGTGACTGCGAGAAGTCTATCCAGTTGTTGGGTATTCTTCAAACTTAGGATCAATCGTTGGTCTTAAGGGCAAATCACGCTGTGTGGTTGTGCCAGCACATAGTTCTAGCCCTCCGTAGGGGTCTGTGTGTTTCGGTTTTAATTTACTTTGATTCAAACCCCCAATTCTTGATATACCCAAATCAATACAAACCAAAGTACAAATCGTGCTGAATCTACCTTGATCAAAGGAATATATCAAATCCTTAGAACGATTCAAATTGATTGATCAAAGCTTTGCGGAACCTTTGCCAACGCTACCCCTTGCTATTAAATAAATTTGATAGCAGTGAACTCGCATATTGTGTATTAGATTGGTTGGTTGGAGTGCCCATTAGATTCCTTCCTTTCTCTTTCACACAAAAACGAGGCAAGCTCGTTATCTGGAGCCCACCGCGAGGGGTGGTTTTGAAGCTACATTTAGCTTGATAAATTAAATTGAACGTTTGTTTGGATTATATTCGATTATTTGGTAGAAGTGTGTTGATCTTTGTGATACCATTTCTGTGAACTGTCAACATTAGTTCATCAGGAAAACCGCGTACTTCGAAGAATTCGGAGAAAGCAGGAGTTTTGACACCGGAAGAATATCGTAAAGCAGGAGTTGTATTTGGGAGATCTACGTTCGGCACATCAGCTCGAACATCCCTATTAAATCCTACGAACGAATCCAGTCGTCCATCCTCTTCTCAAATACCGACAGAAGAATCGCGTGGAAGTTCTGTTTCTAGAGGAACAGGATCATCTATATCTCGAGGAAGACTTACATCTTTGCCGAGGAATTTGAAGAAATCTAATCTCGATCCGAAAAGGAAGAGAAAAGAAATTAATCCGATTGATTTAGAAGAAGATAGAATTGAATTGATTGCTCCAGAGTCAATTTCAACATCTTCTACGTCGATTGAATCAACTAGATTGATAGATACGTTACATCAGACTATCTCTCAAACAAGTAATACGATTGAACCAGTCAAAATGACTACCAATAATTATGGAATGCCTGCGTTGTCAGCTGAAGCTAAGGCTGAGATTGATAAAGCCAGTGCGAAACTTCCAAGAAAGTATAAGACAGCACCATTATTCGATATAACTGATCCAAGTCAAATGATACCATGGTTCGAAGCTACTGAAAGCATATTTGAACATGGAGGAATTACATCTGACGAGGCTAAAGTGAGGTTAGCTTTAGAATGGACGTCTTATAAAACGAGACAAGCATTAAGAGTCTTTGATTCAGTGAAGAAACCGAATTGGGATCAATTTAAAAAGGATCTAAAGAATATGTTTCCGCAATCTGTAGGAGACGAAAGAGGAT